CTTTAAAGTTACCAAAAGATACTCACCAAAACAAAGAAGTAAACTAAAAAAGAGGACAACACGGATACAGAAAGCCTGGGTTCCAACAAAAGAAAAAGTCAAAAAAGAATTCTCAGAAACATGATGAAGTCACAAGCTAAAGCTATACAGCCTACATTGAGCCCAAGAGAGAGATCAGAGCAAGAATATAGAGCTCAAGAAGTATTTTCCCAATTAAAAAAAAAATTGAATGATCAATTATCTAATGTGTTTGAAGATACTTGGGAGAGTGTATAATGGTATAACATTAGAGACAAACAGGAAACTAAGGGGAAAAAAGGAATTTTAACCCCAAGAAATACAATCACTGTACACTGCAAAGTTGAACTGTAAATTTAATTACAAAGTCTTAATAATATAAACAATGAACTTTCATTTAACCAAAAGCATAATTATATTAGGAACATAAAGGGAAAGAAGTTCAATATGGCATAAGAATCCTAAAGCACAGATTCATCTTCCACAGTATGAATCCAATAGAGAACACAAAAAATTAAAAAACAAAACAGTAGAACCATGTATTCAAGACTGAAAATAAACCAAAAAAATCTAAGAAAAGAAAATAAATATCAGAAGAAACAGCTAAAAGTATTGAACATGTTTGCTCTGAGAGCAGGACCTGGGAGGAAAAGTTAGAAGTGAAACAGAGGACCAGGGTTTTCAATATAAGTCTTGTAAGTAAGACTTTCTTTTTAACTATACAGCTGTATTTATTACTTAAAGTATTAATAAAAAAAAGTTTTCCTATCGCTTATAACCAATAAATTCAGTCATTCCCCAAGTATCTGAGCACTAGCTAAGTGTGTCAGGCAGGTACTATTGTAGGTGCTGGGAAAACAGCAGTGAACAAAACTAAGTCCTCATTCTCAGAAAGCTTACATTCAGACAGGGAGGGCAGATAACAGTACATCAGACAAATCAATACCACAGAGGAACAAAAGGCAAGGTATGGGCACAGTGTGATGTGGATGCCATTTAGTAAGGTGTTCAGGAAGGGTCTTTCAAGAACAAAAGGAGAGCAAACTATGAAACAGAGAAGAAAAATCTGTTCTGAGAAACAAAAGGTATCTACTAAATTCAAGTTAAAGGCTTCATTTCAAGCCTCTCTCAGTTCAAAGCAATGTGTCACTCAATAGTCAGTACCAGAAGTTTTCTGCAGTGGCATATGTAAGTTGTCAAATTTCCTCAAACTCACTCGTAAGAACACTGCTGTATTACAAAATACAGACATGTATATCTATCTATATATCAGTCCATATTCTTCTGATAAATCTAATTAGCCATACATTTTAGATACCAGTGTTATATTCCTATTATATAAGTTTTCCTAAATCAAAAGCTGAAGGCATTAACCAAGAAATATTCCATTACAAATTTAGTGCACTCCTGCATTCCCAGCCACACAGAAGGTGGAAGTAGGAGGTTCTAGAGTACTAAGCCAATCTCAGCAACTGAGGGAGACCCTGTCTCAAAAAAAGGGCAGTAAAACTCTCCTGGGTTCAAATTCCCAGTATCGTGGTGGGGGGCTATTCCATTATAAAGCATTAAAAAAGGGGAAAGACTAATTCCAAGACACTAAAATTTATCACAGCCAGTCTTCATTCACTCCCTTGAGAAACCAATGGGAATGCAAAGCACATTAGAGAAATCATTTATAGGGTAATGCAATACATTAGTTTTTCTTCCCAAAGACTTCATTCAAGCCATCTAATTATACTCTCATGGAAAACCAAATAACTTTAAAGAAGTAACCACTTTACTTCAAATACACAAAAACCTCATATTCAAAAAATCAGGTCCATTCTAATACATCTTATTCTCAAAAACTTGTACTATTAAAGATAAACCCAAACAACGTGTCTTCATTTTATATCTCTTTGATAGAAAACATGCTTGTTGTTGTTATTGTTGTTTTTCCAACACTGTGACTGAACCCAGGGGTGCTTTGTCACTGAGCTATAACCCCAGTTCTTTTAATTTTTGAGACAGGGTCTCACTAAGTTGCCCAGGCTGACCTCAAACTTGTGATCTTCCTGCCTCAGCCTCCTGAGTCACTGGGATTACAGATAAGTGCCACTATGCCCAGTTAAAATAAACAGGTTTAAATTAAACCTACAAAAGAAAATAAGCTTATTAAATTCTAATTAGCAGTTGGATTTAAGGTTTAAAAGTATCTTAGAAATTTCTGTAAATGCAAACCAATAGCGTAGTAGATGCTGAGTTGTAGCATCAGGTGTTCATGTTCTCCCCATCAAACTCTACACACTCCTGAGGGGGACTATTACATTCTAGTAGAAGCTATAATTCCAGTTTGGGTTCACTGCTTGCTTGCTGGTGGTTTGCTTACATCTCCAAACTTTAGTGTCCTGACCTAAATTAACAAGATAATAATACCTACCAAGTATCAATGTTAACACTGCAAATAAGGAGTAATAAAATATTTAGGTATAAATAATATATGAAAAGAGTTTTCAAAGTTGTAAAGAACTATACCAATATCTGTCATATTTTCACCACGATGAAAACTAAACACTCCAAGTAAAAATTTTCTTCATTTTGCCAGTGAGGGTTATGTGATTCTGTGGAAGAACTGGGCACTGGTTCACTAAAAACAAAGGTGATTTTTTAAAAAACACACTGTGAAAAAAAAATTAGACACCCTTGCAAACCAGTAAATTCTAAGAGTATTTTCAACAAACATTTAACTATATAAACCAAAAGAATAGGATTGTTTAGCCACACATAAACCATGCATCTGACTTGAGGTAGAATGTTTATCCTTGATATATTTGGAAACCAGACACCTAATGTGTATAAACATAAGCAGTTTTTAAAACAGTTCTATTAATGCTTTTGTTCACAAAGTAATAACTCTCTCTAAGAAGAAAAACATGAGCAATATTCAAGTAGTTTTTACTTCTGAAGCTTTTAACCTAACAGATTTGCCCACTTACCATTTAGGCTCCTTCAGGGCACAGACCTGTCTTTTTCCCTGATGTATCCCCAACATCTGGAGGAATAATTGGGACCAAGTAGGTACCACATGAGCTAGACCCCTAGAGGCCAAAACTAAGTGTTTCAAATTGCAACAGAATTAATTTCATCTATATATCATTCACTACACCCTATAGTCTCAACTGTAATGACATAAAAAACTGAAAAAGATGTACTAGGTATTTAAATACACACAAATATTACTCATAAGTGCATCTAATTTACAAAGCCAGTTTTTTCATATTCTGTCTCAGAGAATTTTTGAATATTCTTTATATTACAAATAAATGTCAGAAAGGCATATGACAATCTAGATATATAAGCATTACCTTTAAATTTCTGTGGTAGTCTGGAATAATTAGGCAAAGTTAGTAATATTTCCAGAGTTCCACCCAGAGAATGTGAAGTCATATTCCTTAATTCAATGAAAGGTGGAATTTAATGGGAAAAAGACAGATCTTACCATTTTGAATTAAATTTAAAAGAATTACATTTAAATTATTTATTCAAAATGGCATCGAAGGAAAGACCTTACATTTGATCTATAGATCTATCTGGCTAGGGCATTTTCCAAATATTGGACGCCACATGATCAACTTCACGTCTACAAAGTAGAGGTTATTTTTATTAAAATAATAGTTTGAATATAAGTTCCTTCATAATTCTCATGACTAAGATATTCAGCAGTAATACTAATACACTTATTATATTTGATTCTACCGCTGGTATAAGCATATTATCTGGGTGGAACACGATTATGGCTTGAGGATATGTTCAGTGTCACGCTGCAATACCCTGCAAGCACGGATTGAAAAGTTTCCCAAAATCCTAATGGTCATCTTCAAAGAGACCTGACCATGAGTCGATCTGATGGTAAATATTAACAAAGCACCAAAGTCAACTAATAAACACTGGCACGAAAACAAAGCTCTCTATAGCAACTACAGAGTTGGGGGGGGGGGGGGCGCCGACCCAGGACTCAGAAGATAAAGCTAGATGAATCGCTGCCTGTGTGTTCCCACTTTAGGTCGTAAACACTGGGCACAGACACCCTTCGGAGCGCTTCCTTAACAGAAATTGGGTGTTTCGATCGCCCCTCCTCCACAGCTAACAGCAGCGCCCTTTCCTCCTCCTCCCTCACCCCTCCCAGCTCAAACAAATTAACATTTGCACCAAGGTACCTCCTATCAGCTCGCAGCTCCTTCCCAAACACGCCCACGGACACTGAAACTGGCTGAGTCTACACAACCCGGCGCTACAGGAAAGGGGCTTCGAGGGGGGCGGGCGGGGCCCCGCTCGCACAGGTCGCCGCCGTGATCCAGATATTAGCTCCTCGCGGGCGGCTCGGGTTTCCCCAGCTCACCTCCCGAGCACGGTGTTTATGAGCTCCCTAATCCGACACGGCAGTGGCATTCCGGATATTTGCAGAAAGATATCGCGGCTTTGCAAGTGTTGGATCAGATACGTTCGGAATCTCCCTCCTTCTCCCCGCACCCGGCCCCCGCCGCGCCGCCAGCCGACCCGGGGCTGCATCCGCCGCCCGCACTACGCGGAGCCTGGTCGGCCCGGGCCGCCCCGCAACAGGTCACCCGACCGCGGGCTCGCGGACGGCCGCTCGGCGGCCAGGCGCAGGGTGCAGCGCCGAGGCAGGGGAGGGGGTGTGGCCGGGCGGCGGACCCCGCCGGGCCGTCCGAGCTCACCTGAGGGCAGCTGAGGCGCCGCCGGCACAGCGCGTTGGCGGCCCGGGCCTCCGCCGCCTGGCGGAGAGCACGGCTGGCTCCGGGGGTCCCCGCGCCGGCGCCCCACGCCGCCTCCGCCAGCCCCAGAGCGGCCGCGGGAGGCGCGCCCGGAGTCCTCCTCCTGCGGCCGACTCCGCAGCCGCCTCCCGCGCCGGGGGCGAGCCGCACGCCGCAGCGCCGGAGCCGCCGCCATTCCCCGCGCCGCTTGGGGGGGCGCAGCGCACCCACCTTCCGTCCTCCGCACCACCGCGGGCCGCAGCGCCGACCTGTGCAGCCGCGGCCGTCGCCTCGGAGGATGGAGAGGCGACTCCGGCGTCACGCCTCGCCACTGCCGCAGCCGCCGAGGAGAGCGCCAGCCGACCCAGGCGGTCGGCGTCTCTCATTCAGCGCCCGCCGCTGGTGCTCGGGGGAGGGGAGTGCGCGGGATCCACCCCGTTCGCGCGGGGGAGGGGGAGGAGAGCGGCCCTGGCGGGGGCGCGCGCTGGGCGGGCGGGGCGGAGACACGGGCGCGAGCGCACTAAACGAGCGCGCTCGCGCGGTTCCGGAGCGCCACAACCGGCGGGGTCTTCGCGCGCCGCCCGCCCGCGGCTCTTGGGCCCGGCGGAACCCAACTGCCGCTGGGCACCGGTGTCCGCGGCGCGCGCCACCCTCCCCCGCACCCCCGCCGCGCGCCTCTGCGGGGAGGGGCTCGCCCCGGCGAACGCGGCAGCTCGGGGCTGAGAGGACGCACAGGTGGGGCCCCGCCACCGCGCCGGCACCCCGCCCGCGCGGCCCTCGGCGGAATCGGCGGTGGCGCTGGGCTTGGGCGCCGGCACCTCTCCTGCAAGACCCGAGAACAAAGTCTGGCCCCAAGACTTGAAGCAAACGCTCGGCCCAGATCAAAGCTCCAGCACGCGCCCGCGGTGCCTTTAGAAGTCGCGGCGGACAAGGAGGGGGCTCCTGAGGGAAGAGTCGCCCCACTACCGTGGGGCCGTGAATTAGGGTGTTGGTACTCCGCCGCGTTGACCTTCGGGAAGGCTCGGAGTGGGCCTTTGCAGGTGTTGTGCGGGGTGTTCCTCCTCGCCTAAGGACCAGTGTCAGATGGGGCATCCCCACCCCCGCCCCGGGCTCAGATTGATGGATCCCAGGCGAACCGTGTTTTCACGCACACGATTCTAAAATGTTAACTATTTCCCGTGAATGAAGAAAAGGAGTGATTCCTTATCTCGGTGGAAGGGTGGTGTTTCAGTGGGCGCACTTTCGTATGGGTGGCCTACTTACAATTAGCACCATTTGAGGCAGTGTGACTTTTAGTGGAAGGTTGTCAATGAGCCACCCCTGCATATGCTGTCGTTAGCGCTTGTGCAAAGCAATGATTATTTGATGTTCTGCGGCCCTTTCTTGTAGGCAACGTGCAGTAGATTGTGGAAAGAATACTGTGTAACAGCACTGAGTATAAAAGATGAAAGGACCAGAATTGTTCCTGCTTCGTTTCTTTAATTACCACTAAACAGATCTGATGACTGTTGTGCGTTGGAGAATGCTAACTAATTTCTCCTTGGACTACCTTCTAGAATACCCTTGAACTACGTTCTCTCAAATAGGGTTACTTCTTTAAAGGGCCGCCACCTAAAGATACATTAGAACAAAAACAAAACAAGAAACAAAGTTCATAGTGTTTCATATTTATTCCATTTCAAAGAAAGTCTTGAATCATGATAAAAAAAAAAATCACTGAGAGAAGTAGAGAAAACAAATGGTCCCAAAACATTCCAGAGGAAGGAAAAACTATTGGTTAAAAGGGTGGAAATGCTTTATGAATACAGGAAGCTTTCCCATACATGCTAATTGCTTCAAGTCCCAAAGAAACAACAGGCAAACTGAATTAGCACTTGGAGGAAAAGTCCCTTCCAGCTATAATAGAGCTGGGTAAATGTTTAGTCTTTTTTCGGAGTTAGTAAGAGATTAAGGAAAAGGTGGTTGGCTGTGTGCCAACAATAATACAACAATTTTATATAGATATATATATACACACACACACACACACACACACATACACATACATATGTATGCCATTAACACAAATAATTAACTGCTCTCAAGAAATAAGAAAACCCAGGAACAGGGGATTCTATTTTGTGCAACTGTCTTGCAATTACTTTAAACTTGAATTAGAGCCTCATAAAAACAAATGAGCCTGTGTCCTACATCTGCCAATAATTTTCACAGTTTATTGTAAAAGCAGTGAATTTTTCATTTGGACTTTGATGAGAAAAAGCCATCTGACTCATGAGGTAGGCCTTGGATACACTAAATTCTCATGTCTACGAAATTTCTGAATTCACAATAAGAACCTCAAAATCTGTTTCTTATGTTGATAACCTATAAAATCATACTTAATTTATTAAGTTTGAGTTGTCTTAAGTATTTGTATATAAAAATACATAAAAGTTCATTTTCACTGTTATTGTTTGGTTGGTTGCTATTTTTGTTTGGTTTTGGATATTTTTGTTATGGTTTGGAAATCATTTTACAAAGTCAGTGACCCTTCCCATTCTTTGATATGTAAATGAAGCAATGACTTTTTACACCAGCACCAAACTTTATGTATCAGAGCACTAAAGCTGCTTTATGGATTCCATTTGCTTTTACCAAAAGACAAGAAATATGCAAAGTCTTAGTAGAACAAAAAGTGCTAATGTATAAAATAGAAATGCCATTATATAAAATCGAAATCAATAAGAATTCAGTATGCTTAAAAGTCATTTCAGAGGAATCACCATTATGTAATGTTTTATTACTGTCCATCAAAATTATTTCCCAGGTGTAAGCCAAGGAACT